GAGCCGCCCCGCTTTCCCGCTCGTCCCTCCATGGATCGGCGGGTGGCCCGCGGCGTTGTCGCGCTCCCAGGCCACGGGCTCGGTCGTGCCAGCAGCAATCCGGGCCGCGCAGCCAGCGCCAGACCCAGGCACGCGTCACGCGTGGGCCAACAGAGAGGGGAGGTCACCGGGTGCCTAACGTGCTTTTTGTGCAAGAGACAACCAATTTCCATCTCTTTCTTCCTCCAGAACAGCTTCTGCCTCGCCCTCGCCATCTAACACAGTCCCTTCCGCCCCGCTACCTGCCTCTCTCCACATTTTCTCTCTCCCAGTATTCCCTTTTTCTCTGCGAGAGTCCCCTGGGCGATGACACAGACTCAGATCCCTGCCTTCTGGGTGCCTCAGCTTCACACCAGTGATTTCTTCCCCTTAGTAGCACATGCCATTTAATAACTGCATGTAGTTTTAAAAGCAGTTTATAGTTCTAGGCAGGAACTAAATGTCCTTCCTTCTCCTCACAGAATTTATATCAACACGCAACTTGTGTTTTGCCCTGCATTTCCACAATGCCCAAACAATGCATTGACAGCAAATCATTGCTGAAATCAGAGGGGTCTGGGGCAGGTTCAGACGCGTCAGGGCGCGCTTCTCCCCCCAGGGCAGTCCCCACCAGAGAGCTGGGATGGCCCCGGGTCCCACCAGCACAGCCCTGACGCTCGCCAGGGCCGAGAGGCTCAGAGCCACCCCTGGCCCAACGCTGCTCATTTGCCCTGTGGCTTCCAGCAGCAAAACTACAACAGTGCAGAGCAACGGTGGGCTTAGAAGAATGAATAACTACATGGAAAATGTAAAGGGCAGCTTCTTGTGCCCAGTGCTACTAACAAGAGCTTCTTTCCCACTTGCAAGAACAATCTTTCCCCTGGCAAAGCCAACCAGTGCAATTGGCAAATACAAATATTGCAGTTTGCATTTCAAAAAAAAACCCCAAAGATTGTTGCCTAAAGCCATTCAAAACCTGCGAACAGACTAAATTAGGTGTCATGCTTAGAAAAATTCCTTTCTTGTAGTAGCTGGGTTTATCTGAGTAGTGTTAACCTATAGAAGCCCTCACCCTTTTCACAACACTCACCTTTTTGTTGCTAATTCCCTAAGTAGGTTTGATATAGAAAGATGATTCCCACTATGTCTAGATCAAGAATTATTTGTATTTGATTCTAGCAGGGAAGAAACGTTTTTCTTGAAAGTAGAGGCATGTGGTCTCAGGCCATGTTCAGTAACTGCTACTGTATCAAATTCCGCATCCATTTGTGCCTGCTGTAGGATAACCGCTGCCCTCTCCAGCAAAATCGGGGACCTATAGGGCAAGTCAGTTCAGCTATACGTAATTTCAAGGTAGTTGATGTTGTGGTCACTTCACTGGTTTTATTCTTTCAAATGCTATAAGCCAGCCTTACACGGAATCTATTTATGCTAAATAAGGTACGAAGAGGTCTAGTTCTGTCTTCTGAGGGCCAAGCTTATGCAGTCATATTTTCCTTCTGTTATGACTGAACCAGGAGTTTTCCTTCTGTCTGAAACAGAAAACAATAGGCTGAAGCAAAATTAAACAGAAAGAGAGGAATGAATCACTCGCCTATTTAGAACAGGATGAGGATTTAAAAAAAAAAAACAAAAAAACAAACAAAAACCAAACAAATAAACCACCGATAAACAAAGACTAAAAAAAACCCCAAAGCCCAGAAGGATATTTTGGTAGCAGCCTTGGCAGTGCAGCTGCTAGCATAAATGTTGTCTAAAAAAAGCGCATTTTATGAACGAATGTGTGACCGTTAACCCACGAAGACTTGTGCACTGGGGAGCTGTCCTGGTGTTGGCTGGATAGACTTAGTTTTCTTCCTGGTAGCTTCTGTGTTTTGGATTTAGGATGAGAAGAACGTTGATAACACTGGCGGTTTTAGTTGTTGCTAAGGAATCAAGGACTTTTTGCAGTTTCCCGTGTTCAGCTGATGAGCAGGTGGGAAGGAGCACAGCCAGGCAGCTGGACCAAGCTGGCCAAAGGAAATATTCCCTACCATGGACATCATGCTCAGTTTATGCATGGGGGTTGGCCAGGTGGGCAGGAATTCTCTTTCTTCCATGAGTTTGATCTTTTCCGTGAGTTTGAATGTTTTCAGGAGTTCTGCGAGCTCTGGGAAACCTGCAGGTTCCGTGACTGCTGCTCAGGGACTGGCTACGCAACCTGTCAGGCAGTGGGAAAAATGGTATTGTCATCGCTCGTTTTGCATGTTCTTTAGTGGTAGTACTACTACTAGTAGTACTAGTATTATTGTTTCTTTCTCTGTTGTCTTATTAGACTGTCTCTTTCGCAACCCATGAGGTTTTTGTCCGTTCTCCTCCCATCCCACTGGGGCAGGAGTGAGTGGGTGGCTGCTTGGCCCCAGTTGCTGGCTGCCGGATTAAACCACGACCAGAGCGATTACCTCTGGCAGCGCCGATTTGAGGTGGGTTTGGTAGCTCTGCTTTGCTTCAACTTCTGCAAAAAACCAGAGCCCTTCCTAAAGTCTGGCAGGGAGGTGATGACACTGGAGTGGCTGGAACTAGAGAAATCCAGACAGACCTGAACAAAATGCCTCCTCGGTGCTGCAGGGCTAGGTTTGGCAAGGGAGAGGAGATTCAGTTGCGTCTCGTGGCCCATCCTCTTGGCCAAGGAAAATAATTCCCGATGGTGCCTCTGTAGCCACTTGTTGCTGAGCAGAAGACTAACTCCAAGGAGAAGCTCTTGATACAAAGCAATGCAGTCTCACAATTTTCTGAACAACTCGGTCCGATCTATTTTTTATGGGAAAAGCTACTTCATGACAATGGAAATGCTCTTAGCTCATCAGGCTGTACCTTGAAGCAGCTTTTCTTGTGTTCTCATCTTTGAGTTTCTAGGGTTATCTTTGCTTTAGCGTTACTCTCACATTTACAGTGGAGATGTGTGCATCATCAGGTTGAAGAAGCCGCCTCCCAGAAAATCAGCACAAGAACCACCATTCGACTTGTCCACTCTTTCATTTTACGCCCTCCTATTTGGTCCATTGGCACAAATCATACCAAGTGCCTATCTATGCATGTTTGTCTACTGTTTTCTTGGAGAACCTTTCCCTCTGCTGGCAGCACTGGTGGTGAGGACCAGGACTACGATGCCAGATGGGGGTGTCCCATAAGCCTGTCGGTGGCTGAAGCGTCACCTGCTGCACACGTGAGCAGAACTTACGCCAGCTCTTCTCACAGTGATTATGCTGTTATGTATATTCATGGACTTATGTTCCCCCTGGTAATGGTAGATGATTTACAGGAGCACAGAGAAGAGGCTGCTCTCCGGCAGGTGATTTAAACACTGTGTGACCTTGCTTTTTGAAGGGTCATTTACCCTTTGAATTGCATTTACCCTTATGGCTTTCAAGTCAACTGTCTTACACACGAGTGGTAGAGCCCCCAAAGCCCCGTTTTGGCTTCCCACCTCCCCCCACTTAATTTTTTCTATTTTGACTGCTCTCGTCTCCTATTCCTCCACGACACCAGCTCCTATCTATCACTCTCATGAAAAAATCACCAGCAGTAGAAAGTTTAACAGGACCTCTACCAGAGTTTTCCTACAAGTTACCTGCTCAGAGGTCCCACTGCCATTACAGCAGTCCTTGGCTTCCGAAGTCTGAGCTGTAAATATATTACTTACAGCTGGAACAGCATCAGCAAAAGCACTTCTGGCCAAGTCTTGGTAATATGGCTTTCATTCAGACTTTGGGAACAGCATGTGACAGATATTACAAGGACTTCCATCTCCCAAGATCTTTAATGAAGTGACTGCTGAAAAAGAAAAACTGCAAATGTCTCAAAATGCTCATGTGATTTCCCAGTGTTAAAATAGCTGGTGCTTTAAAGGGTGACTTTGAGACAGTTATTATAAATTTCCACTTACAACTAATGTTGCAAGGAGACCCAACTCTGCAAAACTGCATCAATACCATGAAACTTGTTTGCTGAGCGCCCTTCCACCTCGCCAACACACCGTGTCCCCAGGCGTGGAAAGAGGGCCCAGTTTGTCACCACTGCATATGGCAGAGCACATCGTGTCCTCCTAAGTAAATGTCATAGCCAAGCCGCTCCTACTCCTGAGAAGCCAGAGCAGCGTGGCGGTGCTGCATGCGTTCTGCCGATGGCTTCTCATGCGCCGTGTCCCAAGAAGCTTAATTTAACTAAGGAAAAGGCTTGCAGTCATTGCAAATGATCTCTGTCTCCAAGTTCTTTGGGCAAACAGATAACCCGGTCAGGCAGGAGAAGTCAGATTGGATACATAAGATACAAGAAGGGACCTTCAAAGACAGAAGCACATCCCAGACAGAGTGAGGAAGGGCACCTAAAGCACCAAGACATCGGTACTGGAACAGACAGGGAAAGAAACACTGCTTAACCATGGCAGCTTTGCTCACTGCAAATTTTAGCTCTGCAACATAAATCACTCTGGGCTGTGTCCAATCCCTCCTGTGCAGCCAAGCGGTGAGGAGGGGGGCTGACATGATGGTGGGGCAGGATCAAGCTGCCCACCGCTGTATGAAGAGGCAGAGTGCAGGACTCGAGCTCACGATCTACACTTCCAGCCGATTCCAGCCGCCCCTGCCAGCCGGAGCCGCGCACAGCCTCTGCTCAGCTGTGGCAAGGACATCCTTACAGGATGACTTTTGGTCATCGTCTTTTCCAAGCACCCCTCTGGCCAGTGAACTGCGACAGTCCTGAAGAGTTTCTGGGGAGAAAGTGATTCTGCTGATCCAGAGCCAGAAGACAGAGCCCAATCAGCTGGCTGGCCTTTTTTCCCCCTAGGCAAGATATTGAGGGCTCTCTGTTTAACAAAACCACTTGGCATTTGGCCCACAAAACCACAAATGATACCTTCTCACCTGAAGGGAATAAAAGCATTTCACCTCCCCACGTGCCACAAGTCTCTTTTGTTAAAAGCCCCTTCAATTTTAGACAACGTGATTAATTCCTGTCAGCCCATGGAAGGCATCTCTGCCAGACCATCAAGCTCAGACCATGCCCAGAGCTACCATCCACTTCACTTACTGTTTCATCCACCAAGGATGCAACCCTGGTGGTTTCTCCAGGGAAAACTCACCTTGGGCTCAGACAAAGAGATTGTCACCTCCACGACAGTCAGAGCAACATCAAGTACCTTCTGAAGACATCAGTCTACCTAAAATAAGACCCAAAATTTGTGCCCTTCGTGCTGTCCTGCGTTGAATTAATCTTCAACAACACAACTAAGAGCTTAAGGGACCCATTTCTGGTTAAAGGTGCTTTTTTGACACCCTGATCTTCTTGTAAATGGCTTCTCTTTCAGGTAGTGCTTAGGAGCGGGAGACAGTGAAGCTTAAACAGCAACCCTCCAGCAGTGTCCCCCAGTTCTGCAGTTTAATAGACAGTTCAGGTACCCCAAGGGATGAGGGACTGCTCACCAACACCCTCCCACAAAAAGCTCTTCCTTCTCTACAGCTGCCAACCCCCATGGCTCGAGGACAGCCCAAGCCCCCTTGGCTGCTGAGCTGGAATAATTCTGCTATCAGGGGGATACCCAGAAAGCACTGACCAGATGAGACCACCTCCCCAAAAAGCTTTTTTCTTTTTTTTAATCAAGAAAGCTATTTGTTTAAACAAAAGCAATACAAATTTGGAAGAGCAGCTCCACACTTCTGGAACTAAGTTAACATTTATAATAGGGAAAACATAAAGTAACCAGAGAAACAAAACAGAAATGAAAAGGCTCATTCCCAGCTCATGGTCACTGCACCTTCCCAGGGACTCCTGCTCCTGGCCTCTGCTGCAGCTAACGCTATGCTGGGCCCGCCGTCTGCTCTGTCCATGCCTTGAGGTCCTTCAGGATCTCCTTGTTTCCCTGCCTGCAACTCCTCCAGCTGCTCCAAGCTCCTTTCAAGCTCTCCCTGCTGAAAGTGCATGGGAAATTCGCTGGGCTGGGGCCCCAGCCAGCTCTGTCTCCAGCAGTTTTAGGGCAAGCCATGTTCAGAAGTGAGGGATGCTTGGGACAGCCTGCCTGATCCCGGCATGGAGGTGAGATGGGGGAAGGTGGACCAACATAGCATATACTGTCCTGCCAGTCTGACTTTATGAAGGTTGCAGTTGTGCTGCCCCATTTCAGCTAATTAAATGGCACACTCTGTGTGCTCCTTGGAAAGCTTCAGTATTGCACTCGCTGGCTCCTATACCACCTCCTGCTCTGTTATTTTATTTTATTTGGCGGAAGCCAGGCAGTCATACTCTGAAGCTGAAGGTGCTCCCAACACTTTTCTTCCAGCAATTGGGTCCCTAGAGATCCAGCCCCTCTCCTGTAAGGCGCTGAATTTTATTTGACTCCAGGTTTTAATATACACTCCTACTTCACCCTGGCACAGGTCCTTCTGCTACATCTGTGCCCTTTGCACCTCAACATTACTGCCCCACCAACCCCCTCGCTCCCACCTACTGCGCTATGTCTAGAGTGCTTGTTCCTTAAACTCCCAGGATTTGTGCAGAAGCACATGAATAATCCCACTAGCTTCACTTCTTTGTAGCCTGCTGGCAACATTTCCCAAGGGTTTGTCCAGAAAGCCCCTGCTGCCCCTGCCCAGCCAGCCACCCTGCTCTGCGTTGCACTTCATACGCATCTGTCAGCCTCCTTGTGTCACTGAAAGCGCTGCCAGCGAACCTCCTGATCTCCCCAAGTTTATCCAGATAAGATAAAGAGTTGGTTTCAAGGTCTTTAGTCCACAGTTCTATCTTCTCATTTGGCACGTCCCCAAGTGACAGTAGAGCTCCCAGTTTTTCAGTGAAATCCTTGTTTTACATGTAAATCCGTGGGCACGAAGTGTAGCTCCGTGGGTGTTAGTACCTTGCTGGCGTGCACCAGACATGACCCAGCATCCCAGACAGGAACACAGGTGCTCCTTCTCCCTATCCACTTCACCCTGTCAGCCAGGGATGTCCCATGCCACGCTCGCTGCGTGGGCAAGGTGCATCAGCAGGACACGTCAGACCAGGAGCTGCCTCAGCTCATCAGCTGCTGACCATCCAAGTTGTCTTTCTTCAAACCAGTTGCACTACTTGCGCTCCCTTGACTTGCCATAAGGCTGCCTCTGATGGATGGGAGCACCCCAAAATTCCCACTCCAACCTCAAAAGCAGAGCCGAAAGCCCTCCCCGTCTTTCCTGGGTAAAAAGAGGCGGGCTGGGCTTTTGAACATCAAAGTTGTCCTCCATGGAAGGAGGAGGAGCTGCCGTCTAGTCATGGGTTCATTGATTCCCTGCCCAGCAAGAATGTTTGCTTGGGCACAGCCAAGCCGCGCCTCTGATGACGGTAACAGGCAGTGCTCTCTCTCTTTTGATATACTATCAGCTGGGTTTATCAGAGTATCAACACAACCTCCCCACTCCAGGACTCGTCTGTTCTGGCCAGCTTTCCCTGCAAGTGGGCAGGGGCTGTGTTGGAGCTGAGCTCACCTCTCACTTCAAGGAAACTTAACAGCAGGTTTCAAGCTACTTATTTACTTTTTTCGTCTGTCCAGGAAGTCTGAGCTAAAAAAAAAGGCAGAAGTATAATTACTCTGACACGCCTACATTCCTGTTTATTCCTGCTCCAGGCTCAGGCGGAGAGGGACGCTTTCTTGTCAGAGCCAGGAAGAGGATCTGATCCCTGGAGACTGTCGCCACAAACGTGCGTAACTGAAACCTGCAGCCATGCTGAAACAGATATTATCGGAGATGTACATCGATCCTGACCTGCTGGCAGAACTCAGTGAGGAGCAGAAGCAGATCCTCTTCTTCAAGATGAGGCAGGAACAGATCAGACGGTGGGAGGAAAGAGAAGCTGCTGTGGAGGAGGCAGCAGCAAAGAAGCCACTGCTGAGAAAAGGTAAGTCTCTGCCTGCTGGCTGCTTACCCCTCTGGCACAGACCTGGCCAAGTCAGCTGCTCCCTAGAAATTGGAGGTAATGTGTCCTTAGAGTAATTTCTTCTCCCAGGCACATATCATAGTCATATTTCCAAACCGTAACTAAACCCACCTGCGATGGGGTAGTTTTGGCCAGACACGCAATGGTTTTACTCCCTGGCCCAGACACTCTTGTCCGTGACCAAATTGCTCAACTCCTCTAGCTGGGAAGACAGGGCTTCTTTGCCCCCGGGAGATGCATCTCATTAAGTGTCCCACTAAATGGGGCCTCCAAATCTGTCTATAAAACAACCAAGGACTTGAATGTCTGTCCTGGGGCACCAGATCTGCAGGGGGGTTCCCGCTGTGCCTTTAGACCTGAAGTCCCCTCGCCAGGATTACACAGCATGCTGCTGCTAGGAAGGTAGCCCTCGTCTCCCAGCTCTCCCCTGCGACCTCTGTTTGCAGGTAGTTTGCCCTCACACAGTTTGGGAAGGGCAGCAGCAAGGAATTGAAGCGAGAAAGGAAACAGTGGTGAGTCTTATCCATTGTCACTAGACTCAGAAATGCCTCCTTCATTGACCTGGCTTCAGTACCATGAAATGAAATGGGAGGTGCGTGCTGCGTCCCAGCCAAGCTTTCCCCACATACAGCTGCTTCTGGAGAGGCTCTGCCATCGACAGCAGCCAGGAGGGCACAGCAAGCGGGGCACAGGCCCTGCACAGAGCTGCTGGGCAAACAGCATTTGCCCAAGAGCTGCTTCTTTTCCAGCCAACGGGAAGTCGGTGACATGGAAGCTCGGCGCTGACAACGATGTCTGGGTCTGGGTGATGGGCGAGCATCCTTCAGATAAATCGTACGCAGCCATCTGTGAAGAGATCCAGGCACAAAGGGCAAAGCGGTTAGCGAGAGAGCAAGGCAAGGAGGGCAGGTAAGCACCCTTCAGCTGGAGGACTTGGTGGGCAGACACGGAGGAGAAGGCATGTCTAGGGACCCAGTGGCTGGAGTCCTCTCTGTAGCCTCTGTGGTTACCACTGCCACGCTCGACTTGCAGGCGAAAGGCGCCGGCAAAGGTTGGCTTTCTGCAAGTATGCACAGTGTTGGCAGAGACCAGCTCCAGCCCGAGGCTTGCCCCAGCTAGTTGAGCCTCCCCGATACGGCTCCTGCGCAGTACCCTCTGCAGACCCCAGGAAATGCTAACGCTGTTATTGCGGCAGCTGAGGAGTTTGGATTGCACTGATTCACCGACGGGTGCCCGAGTACAACAGGACAACAGTTACTCACCGCGAGTCATTCATTTAATTATTCCACCTACCTGATTTGGAGATTTGATAGCTGCCTGCACACACATCGCTTCATCACAGCACTGCTCTGCTCACGTGCAGCTTCCTCACAAGACGCTGAGAGAGCAGAAAGTGACTCCCTCGGGTTCCTAAGCCCTCTCTGTCTTGCATTTCAGAGAGACTGACTCTTCTGTAACACGGTCTCTACATCCACAGCCAGGAGTCCTAGGCAAGACAGATCTTCACGGGAATAAAAAAAGCATTGTGGAGGAAAAGAAGGAAGGGGGGAGAAAAACTGCTGCTGCTGCCACAACAGGGAAAAGCCAGGAGCTCCCAAAGGTAGTTCTCCCCCTTTTCTCCATAACTATCAGAAACATGTGCTTTGAGCTCTAGGAAGGGCAGCAAATCCTGGTTGCTGCGAACAGAAATTTGAAGAAGAACCCCCCTGCCACAACAGGGAAAAGCCAGGAGCTCCCAAAGGTAGTTCTCCCCCTTTTCTCCATAACTATCAGAAACATGTGCTTTGAGCTCTAGGAAGGGCAGCAAATCCTGGTTGCTGCGAACAGAAATTTGAAGAAGAAAAAACCCCAGCTAACTGTTAAGGCTTTTATTCTGTAGTCAGAGAAGAAGTTGGGCTGTTACATCCTTCCTTAGGACTTGGGAGGTCTGACTGCTGTTCTCAGCTGGGATAGATCTGCTCTGTACCAACAGAAAAGTTACTCTGGATTCCTTTACTTCCATTTTCTGTGGGTAAAACGAGGGTCACAGTACTTTCCCCCCTGCTCTGTGGTTGGTTTGGATGGCTTTTGGGACAAGACCAGGGAGGCTATTCCGGGATCTGTACATGCAAGGCCACAGCCCTCAGTCAAATGATCTACTTGTACAAAAGAACAGATGAAGATAGTTTTACCAGCATCCTCTGACATGCATACTTTGGGTTCTTGGGTTTTTTTGTCTTCTGAAATAGTTAGAAAATAACTTATGACCTGGACAGCAGAGGATAACTCCAAATGCAGTAACTATAGCGTCTACTTTGTTGTGGTGTTTCATTACAGAAATATTTTTCTCCAGCAACAAATACATTTCTACTTTTTAACTGGCTACAGAAAGCCATTTGCAGACAACTGAGAAAAAGATGAGTTAAATTAACTACCCATGCAACCAAATATGAACAGGAGGAACAGAATACCCTGCCAATTTAATGGGAGAAGTCCAATCTCATTCAGCAGAGTATTCATTCAGGCTTTTGCTGCTAATTTGTATGATTGTATATTCTTATATTATAAAGCCACTCTGTGTTTCAGTATAAAAAGCATGATATGGCAAAGCATCTCTTCTGCTGCTACCAAAATTCCGAAGGGAATTTGGGGCGGCTGTCTCCTTTATCAAAAGCCTCTGACTCACCCAGGGTTTTTCTTAGCACTGTTTGCTGAAGTTGAGCAACTATGTGGAGATTTTTTTTTCTTTTCAAAGTAAGCTACTAGTCACAGCTAGCAAAAAAAAAGGAGCAAAAAAACCCATCCCAAACCAAAAATCCCACCACCATCAAAAAAACCCTAAACCCCTTTCAAAGTTGTGCTCATGGAAATAGAGGGGGGTTATATATTTTAGTTTTGTTTTCTGTCATTACATTATTAGTAATTTTTCCCAGGTTTCTGGTGCTTTTGCTGTTAGAAGGAGGGATCCAGACTGAAAAGCCCTGTTGCATTTTTTAGGCCTGGAGAGGGGCTTTTTCTCACCTCCCTCGTTAAAGTGCTTTCTCCGAGATCTAGTTCCCATTTAACCTGAGGGATCAGGACGTTGTGCTTTGTCTGCTGCGGAGGATGGGGGGCTGATCTTAGAAAACAAGCTGCTTCACACACATTTGAAGTTCCTAGTTTCCTGTCAAAGAGAGGGAAATTGGAAAGCCCTGCTCATATTAAATATTAGCCAGGTAGGTGATGGAGATAAAACAGAGCATGTCCTTGGTAGGCGGTGTAGTACATTTAACTCGTTACTCACTGTGCCGTGGGAGGCGGTCTGCGTCCAGAGGGGAGGTGGGCTGGTGTTTGCTCAAAGACAGGTCTAACTGTTCGTCTTCAAAGGCAGGTCTCTGCTAGCGACTGCTGGCAGGTAGCTAGACTGGTTTACAGGGAAGAGCGAACAGGAGATATGCAGCTGGTTGGGTCAGTTTGACGAGCAGGGTTTTGCAGCACCCCAGCCACGGCAGCAAACAAGCACAGGCAGGTAAAGATGTGGATGGCAGGTTCTGCTAGGGGTTGCTTTAGAGGGAGGGAGGGAATGGACTGCTCCCTGGGAGCACTGGGGAGCATCGCTTAGCACATCTAGGCGTGCTTGTGACAATCCTGTCACCCCTGAGTTCTCTTCCTGTGGCATATTATGCCTAATATGATGAAAAAAGCCAATGTTTGCCTGAGAAGGCTGGCAAAAATTGTTAACGTAATTGTCACATCACTGCTTCTGCATTAAACACTTAATGCTCAAAAAAAGAGTAATGGTCCTAATGCCACATTTATTTCTCACCGCTCTTTTCCTCTGCCCAGAGGGAAACCAGAGATGTTCACCAGATGCTGGCAGACTGCCATGTGAGGAAGCATGGCTTCCAACAGGTAAGTGGCAACCTGGGATGCTCCTAACACATTGAGTGGGGCCCAGGCTTTATCCTAGAGTCCCAGACAGCCTCAGAGCCTCATCTGACCCAAGAACATCCTCATCTCTTGGATCAGTTTTATCCAGTGTTGCCATGCTCCTCATGTATGGTGCAACAATTTGGAGATGATACAAAGCAGACCCGGCTGGCAGAACTGAGGAGCAGCACAGGGAGATGCTCCTGACGATTTCTGGTAGACTGTTTTCCCTTACTTCCTCTGTTGTCACCTGCAGTAAAGACAGAGGGTCTGTATGTTGCTGAAATTGGAGAGATTCACAATATAGAATGGAGTTCCCAGTATTTCAAGGCTAGCTAAAAAGCAGGGTTAAAACTAGCCTGGGACAAAGCTGAACATACTGTTTCTTTCATAGATGAAGGAAGCACAGAGGAGAAACTCCAGAGAAGAGACCACAGCCCCCCAGGAGGCAATACCACAGAGCCACCTCAGCTCGGAGGGCCAGAAGACACTTCAGAAATCAGATGAGAATGAGCCCGAATGGCAGGAATCCTGTAAGATCTTAGGATGACCTTTTCCTATGGGGCTTGAGAAATCCTAGGACTCTGTGAGGTCATCTCAATCCTTCTTCTGCCACACTGGAATTGAATAATCAGTTGGTGGGGTGGAGAGTACTGCCAAGAAATACAGCGCTGCATTATCAGAAATATTTCTGAGTCCACACAGCATTGAGACTAGAGCTGGGCAGGGAAATGGAAAATTTTTCCTACAGATACTATATTAGAACAAGCAATAGGAACCACATGAGTATAGCCAGGATAATTAATGTTAAACTAGCAGCTGGCTTTTTGTAGGACTTTGCAGTAACCATTGCTCTTGAGGACAAGGATAACAGGTGACAGGGACTAACTGAAAAGGGCTTCCCTCTCAGCCAAGCATGATCCCATCTAAGCAGTGCCCTGCTGCACTGTCTCATGTAATGAATTCCAACGATAGGAAGGAAAATGGCAAACAGTATGAGACTTACAGCAGCATCCATCACTGCTCCCAAATACTTCCTGAAGGAAAACCTGATGCATTTTTTTTCCCAGTTCCTCCCCTGCTGCTCGGTAGATGGCAATGCTGTACTACCAATTGTTTCCACTTCTGGCCAGGGGTTTTATTTTGCTCACTGATTAAAAAAAAAAAATCTAAAGTTGATTACAAAAGCAAGGAAAGAACTAGCCTAACTCAGACTAGTCGGAAAGCTGGTTAGTCCTACAGACTCCAGGATGAGCTGGACCTAGACAATCAAGGCAGTTTTGCAGCAAAAAAAATTACCCAGCCAAGTTCTCCACTTGCTGAAACAGTTTTAGCAAAACTCCTTCTTACCCTTAAAAAATGATCATTATTTTCAAATCCTTGAAAGGATTGATTTGGGGTCATTTCAGTGGCTTTAATTGTGTATGCCCTCCCCCCCCAGACCAGCTCACATGAAAGGCACTACAGAAATCAATGTCTGAACCAGGAGTCAGCATCCAAAACAAAACTAAGTAGTCCTTAAGTACAACGCGACCTGGTGCCCAGAAAGAACCCAGATTTTTAATCTCTTGAAGGAATAAAAACTGGACCCTGTTAAGTAGCAGATGCCCAAAAGTGATGGGAGCCATGTGGCAAAGGGTCTCACAACTGAGTGCATCTTTCACCTTGTGAAATGGGTTGTTCTTCCACTGCATCAAGCAGGAAGACGGCCAAAGGGCAGCAAGCTTAGAACTTGCCTGCTTGTTCGCTCCTGTAGAACTCCTTTTTTGTTGCAGTGCGGAAATCCAAGGCAGCAGATGAGAAGAGACGCTCCCTTGCACGGCAAGCCAGGGACGACTACAGGAGGCTTTCACTGCAGGGCATCCACAGAGGGAAGCAGGCAGATATTTCCAAGGGTGCCAGAGCAGGAGATCGGCGACCGCTCCAATATCCACCTCTCCCCCCCAAGCCTAAACTTCTACCTCCTGCAATGGCAAACGGGAGAGCAATTAGGTAAGGAAACCCCTGAGTGCTGTGGAGGGGAGAAGGGGTGAGATTCTTCTGCTCTAGCATGGGATGGTTGAGATGAGAACATCAGTTCTGCTCTTCATGTGGAGGAGACATCCTGCAGGGAAAAACACAGAGCCTAGGCTGTATTCCAGCCCAGGGTGTGATGAGGGTTATTTGTTCACCCCTGGAGTGTAACAGGTTTATTTAGTGGAGTGACCTAAGCCTAGAGTGCGTACATCCTCTATGCCAGGTGTCTACTGAAAACCAGATACTGTTGCTGACAGCTGCACTAGTGTAAGCCTTCTGTTTAGGGCTGTTCTTAACATCCCGAACAAAAGGTAAGTCCTGCCAAGGACTCAAAGCTGTCCTTTGAACTTGATGCACAAACCATGGTCTTCTTTAACAGGAAAGAGGGAATCCAGAGGACAGTCTCCAATTCCACCGAAGAAAGTATCATCAAGTGGTTCAAAGAGGAGCAATTTCCTCTCCGAGCCGGCTATCAGAAAACCACAGACACAATAGCGCCTTGGTTCCACGGTGAGTCCTGAGCATTTCTGCCCCAACCCAAGTCTTTAAGGAGCTGTTTCTGCTAACATGGCTGCTGCCACAGGCTGGGCCCTGGAGCTTTTTGAAGGTGGCTATGTTTTCCTTTTTAAATATCTAGCAATGTAGTTTAAATTCCTTTAGCTTTATGACAAATGGCAAACTAAAGTGTTAGAACACAGGCCAGATCTTCAAAATACCCTGTACCTCTGTGCCACCCCTGCCTCCCTATACTGGATGCAAGGTCACCCTGGTAACTGGACCAGGGTGGGAGATATTTGGGCACACCTCATCCCACTCATCCTTGGCCCCAGGTCATTCTCCCTCCATAAGCGCTCATCATCCCTCACCTTTCCATCCAATTTCTAATAGATCATCATGATCTCATCCATCTCCCTTTCTTTGGAAACCCCTTTGATCTGAGACTGCAGCAACAAAAGCATTATCCTCTTGTAACTGGGCTTTCAAAGCTTGCATGGCTTTCTGACAGGACTTAGGATCACTGCCTGCACAGCCCTGCTGTATTGGAATCATCATACACCACACTGCAATCCCACTGTCTCTCATAAGACAGAAACTATCTTTTTGAGCCCTGCACATTTATCATTCATAATCAGCCGAGTCTGGAACAGTTAACGTAAAGCACAGTTAGCACACAGCCATGGTCTGTCACTAGCAATGGCAGTACTGTTCTTCCTGGGCTACTGGGCAAGAAAACAACACAAGGTGTGGAAGTGCCACGGATGGGTTTTGGAGCAGTAAAGCAGATTTCTTGTGAGAACTGTTCCATCCAGTCCTGCACAAATGCTTTTCTCCCTTCAGTTTTGTGTTTTGATTTTGAACAGGTATCCTAACTTCTAAGAAAGCAGAGGAGCTTCTGAATAAAACAGTACCAGGGAGTTTTCTGGTCCGGGTCAGCGAGAAAATCAAAGGCTACGTGCTCTCCTATCGGTCTGTGGAAGGATGCAAACACTTCCTCATTGATGCCTCCAGTGATTCCTACAGCTTCCTTGGAGTGGACCAGCTACAACATTCAACACTGGCTGACCTCGTAGACTACCACAAGGTGACCATCTAACAAGGCATTCATTAACTTTTTGTTTAATTGCCTTAGGGCACTTCCAAATAAGAAAGAATAGATTTGGTTGTTTTAAAGTAGGTAACTAGACCCATTTTAGCTGCCGTTGGGTACCCTGTGTGCTGGTCCAGAAGGGTATGCCAGCCTTGTGGGTGCATCTCAGGTGATGTAACACATCTCAGTCATCTTAGACCTGATTGACTGCCCCTCAAGTGCGCAGAACACCTTGCACGCAGGGCTCAAGTTACTTGGCTGATGAGGTGAGAGGTGACAGCATACTCACGCAGACTCCTTTTTTTTGGATTCTCTCCATGGTTGTGGGGTCCCAGCAAGTTGGGTAAGCAGAAAATCCTGCTTGCCTCCGGCTTCAGCGTGAAAGACAACAAGGTATCTTTATAATCTCAAAGCAGGCAAGGTGTGATGCTGAGCAAGATAAAAAGTCCAAGGGAAGGAAGAATGTTGGCAGGTTCTTGCAACAGTAACAGCAGTGTTTACTAGCACTGACTGCAGTTAGGTGGGCTCCAAGGAGGGCCCGATGGATTGTTCATTCCTTTACTGTAAGATCTGCCCGGGGACAGGACAATCGTTTTGCCTAAAGGTTCATTTAAAATCCATGTTTCTTTTAAGTAAGTGCCTAGCCTAATATAGACACGACTAAACAAAATCAGACATGAGGAAAATATCTATGTTCATTTGCTATGTGGAGCTCTACCTGGGCTACCTGAACTTGCTTCTTGCATGGGTTTCACCATTCAGGCTGAAACTGTTGAAAGCAGGAGCTATACGGCTACTGGTGCTAGAGCCAGAGGATTTAAAGCCTGGCTGTGCGTGTCTGTATTAAAGACAGAGCCATGCCCACAGCCCGCATGGAATTGTACAGACTCCCTGCACTGCAGCAGACGTGGGCAGGGTGAACGCGTTCTGCTGAAGTGCTCTGGTGGGTTCCGCTTATCACCCACCGGGTGACTATAACAGACGGCAAGTTCCTACTGCGCATCTGCAGCTAGGGTGGAGAACAAGAGGGGAAGCAGAGACTCTGCTGTCAGGGAATTCCCTTGTTAGATCAGGGCTTGCCTGAGCAGAGGGCATGCGCTCACTCCAGGATCCACCTTCGTCCCTCCCACAAACGCAGCCAGGAGCAGGGTCCACAACAACCCCGTCCTGCTTACCTGTAAGCTGCACAGTCCTCACTCCAGCACTTTCTAGGCTGTGGAAGGATGCAAACACTTCTAGGGCAGCATTTCACGCCACAGGAGCTGCGGATGCCTACGAGATGAGCACTGCTCTTTCCAGGAACTGCCAGAGTCGTGTCACTGGGTTACTGCACCGAGCACAGGCATTGTTTTCTGAAGACAGAGGTCAGCCATGTGGGTCCTTCCCCGAGTTGCCCAGGGCACTGAGCTGTATCCCACAGCAGGATGAACATGTCCACGCCATAACAGAGGCAGGAAGACTGCTGTCCAGCTCGTGACGTTGTGATAGGCAGGGTCTGTTTGAAAGGCAGTGTGTAATCATACCCTGTATCAACAGGACGAACCCATCACTTCCTTGGGCAAGGAGCTGTTGCTTTACCCGTGTGGCCAAGAGGACCAAGAACCGGATTACATCTCTCTCTTTGAGTGAACCTCCCAGTCTCACTGTGCAGCCCCGTGCTTGTATTCGCAAAGACTGAACTTCAAACTAGAGTTGCTGATGCTTACTTGAAACGGTTGCCATAAGTGCCTCTGTTTTATATCCTTCACAACAAAGCAGTGGGAGGATAAGTACTGTCATGGGCTTGTTGTATCGACTTAAAGGATGCATCAGCCCAACAAGCTGCAAAGCACCTGGATGTATCCCGCACAATGGAGTCTATGAGGTGATGAAGTAACCAGTTGAACAGGGAGCTACTGCTACCGCTACCTATTTTCAGTGGGTTTTTGCAGATTTCCTGGGGGACTTCTGTATTCGAGCTGCCTTTTGTCCTTGAACGCAAGGTTGTGTGCCATCTGGGAAATAGATTAGTATCTGCAGTTAAGTGAGATCATACCTTCCTGAAGGCACAAAACAACTTGGAGAGGTGAATTGGTCTTGACATAGTAATTTGCATAATGTGAAGCTTAATCCGGTAAAATACTATCCCCTTGGAATCAAGGATGTTCAGGCCAAACATCCAAGCAAACCCTTGGTGCCTTGCAGTGAAATGCGTTCTCTGTGAAGAAGGATTTTCATGAAAAGTTCATTTTTTTAACTCCTTTAGTCTCTGGATAGAGGTCCTCGCTCTTTTAACCTGTGTTTAAATCCTACACTGGCCTTTCTGCATAAAGAGGGATTAACCTTTTGAAAGGGAAAGGAGGAAGATACAGGAATTTGTATGAAAGACTGCCACATGCACAGAGCCTAAAATATGTAAGAAGCAGTGCCTATATCAGTATTAGTATGGTTTACAGAAGAGCGTTTGCCAGTAAAGAATGCTATTTTCCAGAATGGTGCTATTTATTGCAAGTTGCGTCCAGATTACTGAGATGCATCTGGTGTAAACTTTAACACAGAGCTTTTTCTTTCAACCTAATGTTCTCTCTTCATGTCTGTTACACTGCTCTTTAAATACATAATTCAGAATATTGGGGGAGAGGCTGGACAGAATCACATAACAAATTAATCCTCACCCAGATTCCCTCATGCTGTTGCACATGACAAATCGTACAGCTGAGGGCTGTGGTGAGAATCTGCCAACATAATTTTTCAGAGATGCAATCCTCAAATAGTGAACAAGATTCAGTCTTATTTCAGTTGTTTACCTATTCCCTTCCCTTTCCTGTTGGATCAGGGCTACTCTGCTCAACCTGAGGAAGCAGTCGAAAACTTCAGTCTTACACTGATCTGCATCTTGCACAATACAGATTAAAAGAATTATTGTAATCATCTGGTCTTAAAATTTACAACTATGCTGATAGGTGGTTTCCATATAGGGAAAAAGGGGATAACTGCACTCCAGTTACAGCAGGTTTTACTTACTAGTGATAAAGCCTTAATGTAAAGTGAGATTCTGCAAGTAACAATAGTCTGGCAAGGCAAATGACTTACGGAGCCTCTTGAGCACTGTATCACATGTATCAAAGAGATATTTTGAACATAATCTGCATCAATCATGAGAGGGGGTCTAGATTATTGGTAGGGGGAAAAAGCCCCTCCTTTCCTCTGTTTCTTTTGAAAATTATGGCCAAAATGAAAGGTCATTCAGAGATCCTAGACAAAAGTTAGCATCTGTTCTCATGTGAAAAACAGGCCATAGCTGTTGTCCTGCTGGAGACAAATCATGAAGTGTTTTGTGTACCTATGGGCTGGTAAAGATGGGACAAAGTATCCTTTAAAAAGGCAGCTTGAGAGGCAGGGTGTTAACTTGCAGAAATAAGGTGCAGGCTGATCCGGCATGGACGCAGCAGGACAGCAGGATAGCAGGACATAATCGTTTTTAGCTCTAAGATCTATAATGGAACTTCTCAGGGTTTGATCTTCTGACTAGTGGACCAGTGGTTTCACACGAGGCATAATGTTGGCTCAGTAGAGCCCAGGGAAAGCCACTGCCAGTGTTCACATCTATCCCATGTTTGAGAATCATGCCTTAGGTTTTCGAAGACTCCCAGCTTCACTTGTTTGCTGCAAGAGAAGAAACCTGAAGTTTTATACCTACACATTTAGATTACTGCACTGCCTGCAAAGGCAGCACCCTTGCCAGAACAGATGCCCTCAAGAATGTCTCTTCTATGGCTGTGAAATCTAGTTACCCTGAAAGTCTGTTGAGCAAGGATGACTAGCAGTGGTGGGGAATCAAGGGTGCTGTAAAGTAACAAAGTGTTGAATTTACAGGTGCCCAGTGCTTAAAATTAGAGACTAATATAGGTTTGAAGGGACCTCTGGAGATTGTCTGGTCTAGCCCTGCTCTACCGGTGTGGCCAACCTCAAAGTTACATTAAGTTGCTGAGCGCTTAGGGAAACCTAAGGGAAGATAACAAACAAAGCATCATGGAAGTAGTTAAGGCTAGGCTCAAGGCAGGTAATGACTATGAAACTTTCATAATGCACACCACTCAGTTTCAAATTCAGGTTAAGTGGGACTGCAGGAACAACTATCACCTTGGAGCAGCTCAGTTACCATAGCTCTCATAAGCATTCAACAAGCCATGCCTGTCTCCTCCTACTGCATAATATTTCTAAAGTTACTCCATCAAAACAAAGCCCTTTATAAACAATTTATAATGCATTCTGGGAACAAAAAAGTTCCTTGGAGGACCTGCTTGAGTTGTTGCTGAAGTTTTTATGGTAAGTGATGTATCTGGGGGTTGGGGTTTTTAAGCATGCAGACTTTCACAGTGGTTTTGGACATTTGGTGATTTGCATGGGAAGTGCAATGAAGATAATTTGCATCCAGCAAAAGACAAACACATGCAAACCTGTGTCAAGGGAAAACGTACTTACAGTAGCATGGTCTCTGTCTGCAGATTCTGCGCACAGTTTTCAAAAGAGGTTCATAAGTGCTCTTCCTACCGCACGGTGGCATGACAAATAGTGTTTTAATCATTGTTCAGGGCTATCTTGTGTATTTCTTCCCCCAGCTTTTACAAGCCAGAAACCAAATTAGAATCTGGTTTCCAACTGCCTTGAATTAATCTGAAGGTATAAAATAAAGAGACTGCTTGGAGAAACAGCATTTAGGTAAGCAAATGGGATTTCCAAGCCCATACAGGTTTTGTTGGCTAGTATATATTAAAATGATAAACAGCAGGCAGCATTAAAATAAAAGGCTTTATAAGAGCAGTAACTCAAACTTTCAACAATTTTAGGCAATTGAAAAAAATCTGTTAAGAAGGAGACTGATTTTTAGGATGCACTTATAACTATCATAAAAGAATGTGCAGGGTCCAGTAATCCATCACAAAAATTTATTTTGTTAATTACAAAAAGATCGCTATGCCCTAGGCAAGATTCTATATTTGGTTTAGAAAGAACACTTTGGTATAAAGTCAGAAAATGTTCATCAGTTTTGGTATCTGACATTCAGAGTCTGAAGCCTCCTGCTAAATCAGTACTGCCAGTTGGTATGTATTTCCTTTTGTTCAGCATGGTAAAGCTTCTGCCTTCCAGCACCCAGGCTGTGCAGAAAAATCACTTATCTGAAGCCAGTCCCCATCCACAGGAAACACAGATCTGCAGAGCATTTTCCAAGTGTTGGAAGGCTGTACTATTTCCTAGTAAGGCTAGAACTAGAAAATATGAAGTATGACAAAATAATTCCCAAGCAAACCCAACTTCACTTAAAAATAAATCTTGAGATACTTACAGTATTCTAAAGGAGAAATACACCATCTAATTCACATGATACAGATATGGCTCATTGCTTTTGGCTTACTGTCCACAAAAGAGAAAAAACACCACTCTCCAGCGTTTTTGAAACATCACACTTGACCAGCAGGGCTTTCTCTTCCTGAATTTTAGAAAGCACTTTCTGAGTTGCCTCTTGTCTCTGAATGAACCAGGAATACCCTGTTAGTGCACTACTCCTGCCCACTCTGCCCCAGCCCCTTAAGGGAAAAAGATTTTTGGTCACTCCAGCTTAGCCATTTTTAACAATCAGATGTCCTTCTCAGAGCAGGAGCTCTGTACTTATTCAAAAATAGCCCTTTTTAGATATGTCAGGTTAGATGTAGAAAATAACTCATTATTACTGGCTCACCAAAGGGTCAATCCTTCAAATAACTGTGCACATTTTACAAACATTTCAATGGAAGAGTACATCTATTTGTTATTGTGAATACCACACTGGCATTTATGTAATGTTCATTGTCTGTGTGACCTTGAATCTCATCAAGTGTTCAAGTCTCCCCCAGAAGCAAGTGCTGAACAGTCAGGCTAATGGAGTACTTAAAAGCCCTATTAAGAAAAAAAACAGAAGAAGGGAGAACAAGCACTTTCCCTCATCTTGTTTTGCTGCCATCCTGCTGGAACCTCCATCCTCTTTCAGTCTCATCCCATCTTGTCTTGTTAGCAACTCTTTTCCAAAACACCCTGTAGTCCAATTCAGAGGCTTTTTGCCTCCCTTTCTGGCTTCATGTCTTCTTACTGCTCAGTTTCTGCCTTTGCAGGTGTGTCTCAATCTCTTGCTTGAAAACAAGCATCCCAAGCTGGCTGTGAGAAGCCTCGTTCATGGCCTTGGACTGCATGCACATTTTGTACTGCTCTGGGGTCAGCTCATCCAGACATTGCTTTTCATGCCACAGATGGAAGAGACCCCTGACAGGCGTTCGGATCACGATGAGGTTGCTGTGAAGGTATTTGCGGTACAGATGTACATCTTCACCACCCCAGCCTTTAATGTCCAGATCAAAGCCACCTGATACAAACAAAATCCAAAATAAAACTAGAAATGTACACTATATGAAAACTTGACGCTGTTAATTGCACTGCAGCTGTACTCTGGCTCCAGTCAGCCCTTTAAAATACCCATACTTTCTGCCAACACCAAAGCCTCCAAATTTCTTAGCTTCAAATCTTTCACTGTCAGACAAAACTGCTTTATTTGTACTGAGCAGCATTTAGATTCTGGTAACCTCTATGGCACCTAGGAACAGTCTGAACATCTAACCAGAGCACTGTTGCAAATCAGAGGCATAGACACACAGGCCAAGTAAAGGGAAGCTGATCACAGTTTTCTATGTTTCAGTAAAAAGGCAGACATATTGGAGTATATATT